TGTGGGTGTTGTTGTAGTGGGTGTTGTTGTTGGTGGGTGTTGTTGTTGTGGGTGTTGTTAATTGTGGGTGTTGTTGTTGTGAGTATTGTGGGTTGTGGGTGTTGTTGTGTTTGTGTTGTGGGTGTTTTGTTGTGTGGGTGTTGTTGTTGCGGGTGTTGTTGTGGGTGTTGTGGGTGTTGCATTAGTGGGTGTTTTGGGTTGTGAGTGTTGTTGGTGTTTGTGTTGTGGGTGTTGTGGGTGTTGTGGGTATTGTTGTTGTGGGTGTTGTTGTTGTGGGTGTTGTGGGTGTTGTTATTGTGGGTGTTGTTGTTGAACTAGTGATGCCGAAAAAGAGGTTATAAGTTGTGGGTTGTTGAGGTTGTTATGGTGACAGACCTGATTCTTCCTGTTGGCTTGTGTGTGTGAGGTCATCACGTGACGTCACTGACCGCTCAGTAAACACAGGTGGGGTGACGTCATGCATGTCAGGAAATTACTTGTTTAGACCTGCATGAGGAGGACCAAAATATTTGATCCAAGGAAGTGGAGAGTAACTCAGATCTTTGTATTATGGATATCGAGAAAAAGTTGATCCGAGGAAGTGGAGGGTAAATCTTGATCCAAGGAGATGGAGAGTAAAGTCATCTTTTTCTTTGTATTATTGAAAAAAAAAAATAGAGGAAAGAGGGTTAAATCTTGATCCGAGGAGGTGGAGAGTAGGTTAAATCTTTGTATTATTAATATCTACAAAAAGTTGATCCAAGGAGATGGAGCAGGAATATTGAGTTTAGAAAGTGATGCTGAGAGGGTGATCTTGATCCGAGGAGGTGAAGCAGGGATTTTGGGATGGGGTTGGAAGTGGGAGGTGTGGGTGAGAGAGAGGTGTTGATCCGAGGAGGTGGAGACTACAAGAAAATGGAATTTTTGGGGGGAGATGAAGAGGGTGATCTTGATCCAAGGAGATGGGGCAGGAATATTGGGGATTAGAGGGTGGTGGTGGTGATCTTGATCCGAGGAGATGGAGAATACAAGAAAATGGAAATTTTGGGGGGAGATGGAGGTCTTGATCCAAGGAAGTGGAGCAGGAATATTGGGTTTAGAGTGTATGGGAGATGGAAGTGGGTGGTGGGAGGTCTTACCATAGGGGTGCCCATAGGGGGGACCTCAAAACTTGATCCAAGGAGATGGAGAATACAAGAAAATGGAAATTTTGGGGGGAGATGGTGGAGGTCTTGATCCATGGAAGTGGAACAGGGCAGTGACGTCATGGTTGATTATCACGTGATGTCAGTTACTTGTTTAGATCTGTATTATTTAAGATAAGGTACCATTGTTGGGGGGAGATCATGCCCCATAGGGGGAGACCATTTTGAATGCTTACCCCCATATGGAGGATCTCAAAACTTAATCCGAGGAAGTGGAGGGGAAATCTTTGTATTATTGATATTGAGAAAAAGTTGATCCAAGGAGACGGAGGTGTTGATCCGAGGAAGTGGAGAATATAAAAAAATGGAAAAAAATCGAAAATGTTTGGGGAGGAGAGGGGGTCTTGGTCCAAGGAGCTGGAGCAGGAATATTTGGGTATAGAGGGTATGGGAGATGGAAGTGGGTGGTGAGATGGTGGGGGGGGGATGGAGGGTAAATCTTGATCCAAGGAGATGGGGAGCATAAGAAAATGAAATTAAAAAAAATTCGAAAAAAATTCGGAAAAAATTCGAGGAGCGGGGGCGATCCGGGTCTCAGTAGTACCAGTTACCAGTAACCAGTTACCAGTAGATGACTCACTACCAACCGTGTGTGTGAATCACTGACTGTTATTCATGTTGCTGCTGACCATAGCATGTTTTTGAATGCCATTCACGCCTAGGCACTGGGGGTGTTTTTTTTTACCTCATCACGTTATCGAACCCGGCAGACACGGGCGACGCTGCAGAAGGTTGCTACAGGTGTGGCCACGGGTGGTGTGGATCATGCTGGATTTCATGCTGCGGGCGCGAAGCAGTTTTTGAAGCCATTATCACATAGGTGTTTTTTTTTCACTTAGTTATGAAAATGGTGGCACCTGAGAAGCGCTGAAGGCGTGCCCGTTCTGCTTATACGATTTCTGCGCTGCCACGCATGACCACAGGCATATACATACTATTTTATCACTTAGGTGTGAATAATCCACCAACCGCGAGCCCCTACCAATACTATTACTACTAATGTCATCCATAACCACCACCACCACCACCACTACTATTACTACTAATACCACCATAACCACCACACACCAACCACCACACACCACCTATTACTACTAATGCCACCATAACACCACCACTACCACTACTATTACTACTAATACCACCATAACCACACCATACTACTACTATTACTACTAATACCACCATAACTACCACCACTACTACTACTAATACCACCCTAACTACCACCACCACCACTACATTACTACTAATACCACCATAACACCACCTACTACTACTAATACCACCTATACTACCACCACCACTACTACTAATACCACCATAACTACCACCACTACTACTACTAATACCACCATAACTACCACCACTACTACTTCTAATACCACCATAACTACCACCACTACTACTACTAATACCACCATAACTACCACCACTACTACTACAAATACCACCATAACTACCACCACTACTACTACTATTGTGGATTATTTTATAATTCTCCTAAAATTATCATGTAAGAACTGAAGGATGTAATAATGTTTATATAATGTAATGTAAATATTAAGTGTTGCTGTGATTTACCAAGTCACAAACTACCAAAATACCAAGTCGGACCGAAACGTCGTCGTAAGCTTCTCTCTTTTATGTGCGGGTTATTTGTGTACCAAAATACCTGTGAGGAAGCTGGTAGGGAGGGGGGGGGGGTGTAGACTGCGAGGCAGTACTGCCCAGATGGCCGTCCTGAGAGGTGGAAATTATAGGCCGAATCTTCTAATGAAATGAAGCAAGTTGCAATAGACGCAGTGTGGTCACAACCTGAGGAAGTTCACTCCACATGTGCGCCTCACAGTGTATTAATAATTTTCAGTACAGGTATGTTAACTATTTATTGGCCAATATTAGTTACCTACCGATAGCGAGACGTTACCATATGACACCAAAATATATTTTGGTGAGTAATTGTGAAATGTCCTGATATTATATAATATAATATATATATATATATATATATATATATATATATATATATATATATATATATATATATATATATATATTATATATATTATATAATATATGTGTGTGTGTGTGTGTGTGTGTGTGTGTGTGTGTGTGTGTGTGTGTGTGTGGGTGTGCAAACAATCGCAGACAGGTGATCTTAATTATGCAAGACAAGCCACCGGGGGTGGAAATCTTTAGCTCAAGTACTTTCACACTTCTCAGTGCATCATCAGGAGCTATGCAATGTTGCAGAGGTAGCAACTGAAGGGGTGAGAGGGAAGTTTTCTCAGACTAGCGCAGTACGGGTCTGTCACCAGTCTCTCTCAGAATATGGGCCAACAATTGATGCCAACCCTGTACCCCCCACCATCCCCCTTGACATCTCAAACCCTCCTACTCCACATGGAAGGGAGTAGAACGGAGGGGATGCGGGGTTGGCACCGGTGGCATGCAAAGAGTATGTTACATTTATTCGGCATATGTACAGTGTCATATAGGCTGCCTCTCAACCAGCGAACCAGTTGCTAAGGGTTTAATAATTCAAAGGGCCCCATCGTTAAATCAGTACCTTGGCTCAGGCAATCATATTGTGGGTCTGATAAATGTGAAGGTGATGTGGTAGCACTCACGATTCACTCATGCCAGATTCATCCAGCTGCTGGTTGAAAGTGGTGGCCTCTGTCTCTGGCTGTTGTCCTTGCCTCTTGATCACAGTGATACAATTAACTTCCAAAATTTTGTACATAGTGCACATGTTTGTAAATACATACTATCTTATTTGGTGAAGGAAAATACAATTAAAAGTTTACTGCTGTGTTTGTTTTCGCTCCAAGTTCCTATTTCGGCCAGGTTAACAGGCCTTGATTACCTGAAACCGTAATAGCACCAACCGTTGGCCCACATTCTGATTATTATTATAATCAAAAAGAAGCGCTAAGCCACAAGGGCTATACAGCCCACATTCTGAGAGACTGGTGACAGACCTGCACTGTGCTACTCTCAGAAAACTTCCCCTCATCCCTTCAGTTGCTGCCTTGTAACATGGCATAGCTCCTGATGACGCACTGAGAAGTGTGAAAGTACCTGAGCTAAAGATTTCCACCCCCCTGGGCTTGTCTTGCATTATATATATATATATATTATATATATTATATATATATATATATATATATATATATATATATATATATATATTATATATATATATATATATATAATTACTCAAGCAAATTACTCAGGCCAAGTAATAGATATTACTGAATATATATACGGTCTACACATAATTTGTAAGTGTTACTGGCATAATTTTTTGAGGTGGGCACGGACTAACATTATTGTGTCCAAGTGTTCTTAAAATCCCACTTGATTCTGAGGTGCATCAGTATCAGTAAGTGAAATGTTAATTCAGGATTGTACATGTGAAATTTACCCATATAATTTTTCACTACTACTACCATTTCTTCTACAACTGCTACCACTTATATTACTACTACTACTGCTATTACTGCTACCACTATTACTATTACCACTATTACTGCTACCACTATTACTACTACCACTATTACTTCTATAACTATTACTACCACTACTACTACTGTTGCTACTAATAATAATTATAATAATAATAATGGCAATAATAACTAATAATTTCCTCGACTTAAACCTAATAAGCACTATGGTAGTCCCAAGCACTATAATGATTTGTATGGGTTTAGCGTTCCCCTACGAACATAATCCATGAGTAGTAATTCACCTACATACATTCGTAGTGTAAGGCAAGTGTAAGTTAGAGAGACAAATGGGGTATATTACCTTGTTGAGGTGTGTGAAGTAATATGGGATCTTACTGTTGTAGCTTATTAAATTCTGCAATGATAGAGCTACCAGATATAAGGTGAATGTTAAGCGGCTGAGTGGCTGCCACACTGGGTGAGAGAGGAACTCATTCACCAGACCTGAAAGGTAAACACCTATCTTATCGTTCATCACTGATGTAAAGGTTGTAAACACATGTATTTCTAATTCCAGAGTAACGTAAATATAAATGCACAGACACGTCTAGATCATGTAAATGGAATGCAATACCGACAAAATGAAGAGTAAGACACACGTGCAACACTAGCAATCTTTACTGAAGATAATAGATGGGAAACAGAATGCCGGTAAATAAGGTGTATAGAAATATACCTAGTTGGATGAATCCAATTGGAGCCAGTTGGCCTAGTGTAGCTGTTCACAACCTGTGGTCCATGGACCCATGAGAGTTAGCAAAAGTAATACTGGGGGTCCAATAGCTAAGTTTGAAATTTCAAGAGACTGTGGTGTAAAATTAATATTTACTCACGATAAGGCTGGAAAAGCTAAACCTTCAAAATTTAATTGCATACTCAGTTACGTTTGTTTTTCAACCGTGAGATGAAACTGGGAAAACGAGTTTGATATTAGTTAATAAAATTGGATTTTTGAGTAAATTTAAATAAAAGAGGTCCTTGGTGGTGAAAAAGTTGGGAACCACTGACCTAGTGGTTAGAACACTGGCCTAGTGGTTACTACACTAGCTTCTGAGGGTAAGGAGTCACCTGCTATGGGTTCAAGTCAGGCCAGTTCTGTGATTTATATGTAATACGAAAAGAGAAAAAGTTTTTATAAGACAGTGTGTCAGTCAAAAAAGACTCAAGCGCTTTCGTAATAAAGTCTTGCTCTCAGCATTACCTACAAAGCATGACGAGTTGTGTTTATTTTGGCCCTACACTGAGACCATCCTCAGCATATATATATATATATATATATATATATTATATATATATATATATATATATATATATATATATATATATATATATATATATATATATATATGCAATAAGATCACAGTAAACAGGTGATTTCAAAATATGCAAAACAACCACTCTGAAAGAATAGAGAAATTCCAAGCGCTTTCGTGACTACTCACATTATCAAGGAACTATGGTTCCTTGATAATGTGAGTAGTCATGAAAGCGCTTGGAATTTCTCTATTCTTTCAGAGTGGTTGTTTTGCATACATATATATATATATATATATATATATATATATATATATATATATATATATATATATATATATATATATATATATATATATATTATATATATATTATATATATGTCGTGCCGAATGTGTAAAACTGGTCAATTAGCAATAACTCATTTAAAATTAAGTCCTTTCTAAAATTTTCTCTTATATGTTTAAAGATATATTTTTTTCAATAATGTTGATGTAAAAATTTATAATTTTGCACCAAAAGGAACTTAGAAAACTTACTTAACCTTATTATAACAAGCGCAATTTATTTTAGCCTAACCCAACTAAATATATTTTAGATACGTTTACAATAATTTAATACTAAACAAACACAATGAAATACATTTTTTTCGTTAGGTTCAGAATAAATTTGACGAAATTATTGCATACACAAATTTTCACTTGTCCTATATGGCAAGATGAGCGTTGCTATTTAAGCCAAGATCGCAAGTTCTGCCTATTCGGCACGACATATATATATATATATATATATATATATTATATATATATATATATATATATATATATATATATATATATATATATATATATATATACAGTGGACCGTCGGTTATCGGCCGTAAACCATTCCAGAAGGTCGGCCGATAACCGAAATGGCCGAAAACCGAATTAATATTTCCCATAAGAATTAATGGAAATACAATTAATCCGTTCCAGACGAAAATATTCACAAAATTTTTTTTTTTTTAACAATTATGTATGTTTTACATAACTTTATTGAAGGCTAATGCTGGCTTCTGGAAGATAGGGAAGAGGAAAGAGGGAGGAGTTAAGTGTTTGGAAGGGGAATCCCCCTCCATAAAGACTTTAGGTAGCAAAAGCTTCTCTGGGCTTACTTCCCTTCTCTGTCTTTTAATGCTACAATGCATTCACTGCCTGACTGCGGTGGAGTGTGGTTGTGCTCTGCACATCTCTGCTCTTTTCATGTGAGCTCTCATAGCAACAACATGGCACTGAGTGTACGGCGTAGAGTAAATACTGTCGGCGTTGAGCTGCTTCATGTGGCGATTTCCCCCTCTACGGCACAAGTGTTGCTACCGATGATCATACGAGAGACGAACAGAATACAAGATGACGAGGTATATGATGTAGCCCTGAGTGGGGCCTATAGGATCTTTGTTAAGTGAAATTCGACGGCTGTGTATGAGTCGCTGGTGACGAAATTTCAGCATGTGAGTCTGGATGCAGCCCCGGTTATAAGAGTGTGTCTCATAGATGTCTCTCGCAATTATACATGGGTGAAGTTGCGCAATGTCCCCTTCGAGGCTGACTAGGCTGACATAAGGAACGTGTTTGAGGTGTTTTTTACCATGCATCTGGCAACCCAAGGCAAGTGGGCGGCAGGTGCATACATGGGACGTCCGGAGGGTGCTTTCTCCCTCAAAATGACTCTGAGGCATCCGATCCTGTCCTACGTTGTGATGAAAGAGTTCCGGACCCAGATTCTTGTGTCTTATGCTGGGCAGCAACGTATGTGCAAGCTGTGTGGGGAGTACGATCACATGGCGGCGACTTGTGTGCAACAGAGGAGGGGGACGGCGCGGACTGGTGGAGCACCAGTTACAGATGTGGATGCCGTCGTGGAGAGTCCCATGGGCAAACGAGGAGGTGGTCGTCTGTGGAGTGATATTGTTGAAGATTCCATTGTGGTGAATGATGGGCCAGCCATAACTTGTGTTGAGCCAGAAATGGCCACTTTGCTGGTGACGGATTAGGAAGTGCTAGTCCAGCAGGAGGTGATGGCACTGGGGGAAGAGCTGGACGAGGTTTTGAAAACTTTAACTCCATCTGGGGAGGATGACGTCCTTGTCCGGGAGACCATCCCTTAGTTGCAAGGAGAGAGTGTCGGGACGTGCAAAGGAAGGAAGGAGGAGATCAGCAGGCACAGAGAGGAGTCACCGTGCTCTGTGCAACATGAAACAGTGGAGGTTCAAGTTCACTGTGAGGAATCATCGGAAGACAGCATGGCGGTGGAGGGTGTCACGAGGAAGAGAGCGGTGGCATCAGACTCAGATGACGTCCTGACGCCGGCGCAGAGGTCTGGGAGGAAGGATGAATATTCTCGAGGTAGCCAGGATAAGAGGCATCAAAAAAAGGGGGGTGGGGTGGATGGTGCAAAATCATGTGTTGACCCTGGGGCAGGAGGCCCTGGGAAGGTTGAGAGGAGGAAGGGTTGGAAATTTTAGGAAGGCCTTAGGTGTATGACTGTGAATGTGAATGGACTGTGTAATAAAGTGAAGAGGGAATGTTTTCATATGCTCCTATGTAAATATAGGTTGGACGTCGTATTTCTACAGAAGCATAATTTCAGGGAGGGAAGAGTGCTAGAGGTGGTGGGGTTTAGGTTTTGACTCTGCCATCTTCACGTTTGAAAGGTGGTGTGGGTTTATTGATAAAGGAGGCGAGCCCATTTGTGTTGATACGAAGTGAGGGGGGAGGGGGGAGGGGAGGGAGGGGGGAGGGGGGAGGGTGTTGCATGTGGATGGGTGGTGGATGGGGCCGAGGGTAACCTTTGTAAGTGTGTATGCGCCAGCGGAAAACGATATGAAAGTAAAGAGGGATTTTGTGTGTGATGATCTAGTTTTCGCCTTACGTGGTTTACCTGCAGTGGCCATCGTTGGTGCGAACTCGAATTGTGTAATTAGGAGAGTTGATGTGGAACCACAAGGGGCGGGGTGCATGTTGGCAGCCTTACGAAATCTCTTGGTGGATGTTCAGTTGAAGGATGTGGTAGGTGGGGGGAGTGGGAAGTAGAGCACACTTTCGTGAGGAGAGGTTATGCGGCTAGTTTAGATAGCCACATATCTCATGGGGTATTGTCAAAGTTTGTCCATACAATAGAAGTAGCTTTTTCAGATCATCGGGTGGTAGTGGCAGAGGTGGAGTGGGAGCCTTTAGCTAGTATCTCTAGCGGATACTGGAAGTTAAATACGAGTGTGTTAGAAGATGAGGAGGGGTTGGAGGGTTTTACAGCACCGTGGGAGGGGTTAAGTAAGGAGGTAAAAGGGGTAGAGGATGTGGTGACGTGGTGGAATGGTGTGGCTAAGGAACGGATTCGGCATTATTATGTGCGGGAAGGGAAACAGGTCAATTCTTTAAAACATGGGCTCATTAACTATTTGGAGGACAGGTTAAGGGGTTGTTATGTAAGGGGGGTGGTGAAGGGTACCTATCCTATGGACGACATTATGGTAATTAAGGGGAGGCTCCAAGAAATCCAGGACAAGAGGTTCCAAGCAGTGAGAGTAATGGCGGGGGTGGGAGGAGGTGTTATGGGGAGATAGGCCGTCGTCGTGTGTATTGTGTAGGCAAAAACAACATCAGCAGGCAACAGCTATTCCATGGTTGGAGGTTCATGAGTCGGTGGGTGGGTATAGGGTGGGTCAGGTTATACAAACTACAGATGGGATGGGGTTGTTTGTGGATAAGTGGTATGAGCAGTATTGGCAAGAGGAAGAGGTAGGAGCTGGGGATTTAGAACAGGTGTGTGGGAGTGTGATATGTCGGTTGGGAAACAGTGATAGGGAAGCACTGGTGGGGGGGATATAACTGAGGAGGAAATATGGAGAGCTTTAAGTGAAATGCATAAGGGCAAAGCACCGGGAATCGATGGACTACTGGCAGAGTTTTATCAACAGCATTGGTAGCTAATGAGGGTTTTTTTGGTAAGGTTATTAAATTTGATGAAGGAGAGGGGCAAGTTGGGAGAAAAGCAGGCAACAGCTGTAGTAGTCTTGGTACCGAAGGGTAAGGGACAGCATACGCTTAGGGACTACCAGGCAATATCGTTGTTATGCATGGATTATAAGTTGTTTGCTAAGATTTTAGGAAATAGGTTTAAGTGTGTAGTAGGGTGGGTTGTATTAAGAAC